CCAGGAGGCTCCGAGGAGGGGTCTGGGGCTCGATTTTGGGAGGATGTCTCAGGCGAAACCGCCATTCTCTGAGAATCGGGGTCAAAATTATTGAAATTACCATGTGTTTTTGAAGGTTTTATGTTAAAATGTTGAAATTCCCATGTGTTTTTGGACCCTGACGTCACGATCTGCGTGAGGGGTGCCACCGATTTTCAGAATTTCGAGGATGTCCCGAGCGAAACGGCCAGAAAAATCGCGAACGACGTGCGCATTAATCGCCTCTGAGCTCTACTCCCTCGGAGAGGTGCGTATGAGTATATATATATATATATATATATATATATATATATATGTATATATATATGTATGTATGCGTGTGTAGGTGTTGCGAAACCATGCGGCTTATATGCTTTTAAGACGCTCGATCTTGACATGCTTGCACCACCAAAGGTTATTGAAGGAGTGCGGCACGCGCGCGCGACGACGCGCGCGCGTGCACTTCGTCAGTTTTTGCGCAAGGATCCTCGCGACAGCACGCGCGACAGGGCGTTCGAACGATTTCGACATGCGCGCGCGCAGCCCATTCGGTAGCATTTTATGAACGCGCTGGAACAAGTGATGGTCTTCCTCAGGATTCGCGCGACGCGCGCGCATTTGTTGCGTAAAAATCAGCGCTGCAAGAGCACGTGTTTGCATATGTTTGGGGCGCTCGATTTTGACCCCTCCAACGAAACCGGAGGTCTGTGAAGGATTGCGGCGTGCGCGCGCGACAACGCGCGCGCGTGCGCCCCGTTATTCCTTGTGCGAGGGATTCTTGGAAACTTATGAGTTTTGATAAAGAGCGCGCTCGCATGATTATTTACGTTTTCCTGGGGATGGCCAGGGGCGGGATCGACGCCGCCGGCTGGGGCGGCATGATCTCAAGGAGAATTCACCAGAGTTCGCGCGGAATTGTCGACCGCACTGCGCGCGCAAGCGCCCCGCCCGACCGCCCGCAACTTAGTTTGCAAAGCCCACGCGGCGGCGATTGCGATGAGTGCCTGGCGTTGGCTGGCGCAGCTGCGCGGCCGCGCTAGCCCGCGCGTGCGCGCGCGGCGGCCAGCTAGTTTGGCGCGACCGACGCGGCCGCGGTTGCGCTGGCTGCTAGACGCTTCCATCGGGCACTTCAGTGCGAATCGGTGACATGGGCGGGCGCGGCATCATGGCGACGCCGACGGCGGTAGACGCGGCGATGAGAGTAGCGGCGACGGTGGCGATGGTGGCGATGACAAGGGCAAGGCCAATGACGGCGCCGATGCTGACCGCGCCCGCCGATGGCCATGCTGATGTCCTCGCGTCGGCGATGAAGCTTTTGGAAGGGGTTCGACGTGCGCGCGCGGGGCCGGCGCGCGCGAGTGGCCCGCGCGGCGTCATTTGACCGGGATCGCGCCCCCAAAGTGCGCGAAGGCGTTGGGATGAGTTCGACCTGCGGCGCGAGAGGCCCGTTCGGCAGCATTGGATCACATTTTTGAAAAACAATGGTTTTCTATATGAAAAAAAGAGGAATTCCCAAAAGCGCGCGGGCTTCTTTTGCAAGCGGATGTTGCGAAATCCATGGGCAAGATGTGCAAGAGGGCAAGCGCAGGCTTGGCTTGAACATCTGCGTTATGAAACCATGCGTTGTATATGTGCCCGTGGCATTCGATATTGGCATCTGCACGATGCCTCTGTGTTTCCTCGAAGATTATTTCGTTATGCGCGCGCGATGGCGCGGGCGCGTGCACTTCGTCTCATTTTCGCAATGAGTTCTGGAAGGCTTATGTGCTTTATCAGCGAGTGCGCGCGCGTAGTAACTGTTGCAGAGGATCAGGGGGGAAGTGCGACTGGCCTGCCTGGGGTGCCATGAATTTCGGATGGGCGATGGGGCAGGATCACATGTACATTGATTGCAATGCAAAAAGTGGGGCCGTTAAATCCGAGGAGGGGGGGGGGGTCCTAGTATTATTCTGAAACAGAGATTCTACGTGGCGATCAATCTAGGCGGCGCAGCCGACGTGATACGACCTGTGCGGTGTCAACTGTGTTGTGGAAAGCTAAGTCGTGGTGCGATATGCATGTTTTATAGAACGATTACATTCCCACCCGCCCACCCACTCGCGACTTGGTTTGCAAACCCATGCGGCGGCGATTGCGATGAGTGCGCGGCGCTGGCTGGTGCATATGTGCGGCCGCGTCAGCCCGCGCGTGCGCGCGCGGCGGCCAGCTGGTTTTGCGCGACCGACGCGGCCGCGGTGGCGCTGACCGTTGGGCCCATTCCATTGTGCATGTCAATGCGAATCGGCGAGTTGGGCGGCCGCGGGATCATGGCAGCGTCGGCGCCGGTTGGCACGATGATGAGATTAGCGCTGCTGGCGGTGATGTTGACAGCGACGACGGTACGGCCATTGACGGCGCCGATGATGATCGTGCCCGCCGATAGCGATGACGACGTCCTCGCGTCGACGACGCAAGTTTTATCTGGAGTTCGACATGCGCGCGCGGCCGACGAACGAGAGTAGCCACATGGTATGATTTGACACGGAACGTGCCCCCCCAGCACGCGCGCAGGGGCGCTCGAATGATTTAGGCGTTCGGCGCGAGAGGCCCCGCTGGCAGAGCCCCAGGATTTTGTTGAAACACCCTTTTTTGCCGCGAGCTCGCAAATGGCGCGAGCGCATTTTTTATAACGAATGATGTCCGCCATATGTTTTGTTTCGGGACCCGGGACCCTCTGCTTTGAAATCTCTGCGAAACCTGAAATTTCAGAAAGATTCCGCTATGCGCGCGCGACAACGCGCTCGCATGCACTTCGTTTTTTTTTTGCAACACATTGTCACGACAGCGCGCGCAAGCGCGTTCGAATGATTTCGACATGCGCGTGCGAAGCTTGCTTGGCAGCATGTTTTGAACATGTTGAAGAACCATGGTTTTCCTGGAAAGTTCGCGAGAACTCGCGCGCAAGTTTGTTTTGAAAATCCGCGTTGCGGAACCATGTGTTTGTGTGTATATATATATACACATGCATACATACATGCATGTATACATACATGCATGCATGCATACATACATACATATACATACATAAACATACATAAACATACATAGAATATATATATATATATATATATTATTATAATATATATATATATATATATATGAGTGTATATGTATGTATATATACACATATATAAATACAGACGTTGGACGTTTGATGATCCTGCGAAATTTATGGTGTTCGAAGGATTTTAGCATGCGCGCGCGACGACGCGCACGTCTGCACATCGTCACGTTTTTTTTTCGGGGGGGGCAGGGGAGTTTTGAGATTCTAAGGTTTTTGTGATAAACGAGTGTGCGCACATATTGTTTTTGCTGAGGAAGGCGGGGGTTGACGATACCAGTTGGGCTAGGATGGTACGAATTCATAGTTCGGATGGACGATGGGGCAGAATCGTATGTACATTGCAATACCAAGACGGGTATGGATAATCCAACTGGGGGGTCGAATTCAATTCCTGTTAAGAAAGGAGAGTCGATGTGGTTGTGCAACATATGTTATGCGATCTATGCGGTGCAACCTATGTTGTGAACTATGTGGTGCAATCTGTGTTGTGAACGATCCGAAAATCGTACCGGAGGCGAGATTTCGTCGTGTAAGATGTGACCCAATGTATGTTGTGAACGATCACAGGCCCACCTTTGTCCGTGCAATCTGCGTGGTGCAATCCAACGGCATCGACGAGGCGACGACCGGGCGGCGACTGCGACAACATAGCCGCCAGACCGACCATACGGCCCAGACGACGGGCGGCGACGAGGCGGCGACGGGGCGGCGACGGCGACAACATAACCGCCAGACCGACCACACGGCCCCATTTCTAAAAGCAGTTGTAAGGAACCCAAGGGCGAGCATTGTTTCTGCAATTTTGAACCCACATGAGGCGGGGCCGTTTCTGGCGCCTCCTGCGACGTGCATATTCACGCAGCAATCCGTCGGACTTGACGCAGGGGCTCAAGGTCATTCCGTCTGCATGAGGCATACGGTATCTTCAACGATCCCGATGGCCTGAGAACCCACGTTGATCCTCCAACGCGTGCCACAAATGCAGCCACTATCCTAAATCGGCTCTGCGCACATGTGCATACGAATCCTTGCCTCGAGCGGGACAGTCCCTGATCAGTATGCGGTCTGTCGGGATGCACGTCGCCTGCTTCGTAGATTCGAGGATCCAAATCACAGCGTAGAAAACTGCGCGTGGCACTCACTGCTGAAGTCTCATGATGGCAGCTACCCGGGCGGCCGTTGCAGTTTAGGACCAGTCTGCCAAAGCCTTGCCCGAACTGTGCGTGTAGCCTTGGCATATGACAGTGGCATGTTGACTACGAGGAGCGTACGACCAGCGTGCGCGACGACGCACAGATGGAAGATGATACGGAGGAGGAGGAGGAGGAGGAGGAGGAGGAGGAGGAGAAGGAGGAGGAGGAGGAGGAGGAGGAGGTGGAGGAGGAGGAGGAGGAGGAGGATGAAGAGGAGGAAGACCAAGAGGAGGACGAATCAGAATAGGAGGACGAAGGGGGGATAATCTCCTTTCCCTCCTCCTCCTCCTCCTCCGCTGAGTCCATCCTGGTTCCTTATGAATAACTCCTCCCCGTCGCACCCCGAGACGTGCCGGTAGGGTGGGTCGGGCGCTTCGCCGGAGACTGCCCCACCATCCAGGATCCTTAAGCTTTGGCTCAAGCAGGGGGCAGTTTTGCTGCCTCTGGCCGCGGGCAGAAACAAAAAAACCTCTGGCGCCCATGGCGCGCGCTCTGGAGTGCGTCCCGCCGGCTGCCGTGGAGGATTACCAGCCTGGAACATATCCCCATCCCTATGCTGGGCATCTCCTCGTCACGATGCCGATCTCAGGGGTGCCCTTACTTTTCGAGGGCGGGTCCCTGAGATCGCCATCGCCTCTTGGCGTGCCGATCTTAGGGACAGGGATACGCTCGAGGCTGCCGTGGAGGAGGGCCTGGCCGAGCCGCTGTGCTCCGAGGCCGTGCCCGCGGCGGCGGGGGGCCCCGCCGCGGCCAGCGCGGAGGAGGCCGAGCGCGGCGGCCTGCTGGCCACCGCCGCGCCTGGCCGCGCCCGGCCGGGCCTGCCGCGCCGGGGCCGCGTGCTCGGCACCGCGGCCGCGCTGTGTGCGGCGCTCGCGGCGGCGCTGGGCGCGGAGCAGTGGGCGCGGTCCCGCCACGCCGCCCGTGCGGACGCCGGGGAGGCGACGGGGCTCTTCCTCTTCTAGGGGGCCACATGCGAGCCCTACCCCTACCCCCCCACGATTTCTGAGGGGTGGGGTGGGGTTCACTCTGCTCGGGAGCTCCCGAGCGAAGTGAACCCCACCCACCCCCTCAGAAATCGGGGGGGGTTAGGGGTAGGGTTCGCATGTGGCCCCCTATCTTCGGTGCGCTGGCCGGCGTGGCGGAGGTCATGTTCACCGGCGCGAAGGCGGCGAAGGCCGTTGGTGGGGGCTATAAAGACTTCAACGGTCTCCTCAACAATTCGGACATGAGCAAGGAGATCTCCGCTCTGGAGACGATGCTCAAGGTCGGCGTCAACAAGTCGGTAGTGATGGACCCATCTTGGAGAAAGTTCTTACCGAACGAGACGGAAGGGATGAACGAGTCGCAGATGAGGGCGATGCTGTTCCCTCGATTGAATCGCCATGATGGGAATCTTTGCTACGACGACGAGGAGGAGCACGCGGGTCTGTGCTATCCCGCGGCCTACGGCAAATCCCGCCACCGTGCTTGGGTTGTGGGTTGTACGCTTAGTGGATGTTCGATGGCATCTTGTGGGAGGCCTCTCGGGGCCTCTTGGGGCCGTTTTGGGGGCTCTTGGGGACCTCCCGGGAGCCTTTGGGGGCCTCGAGGGCTCTTGGGCGCCTCTTGGGGCCTCCAGGGGGCCCCATGGGGGGAATGTTTGGATTTTCGGTTCGTGTTTCCTCTCAGAGATTCCTTTTGGGGCCGTCTTGGGGCACTCTTCGGCCGTCTTTGGCGCCTCTTGGACCGACTTCAAGGGCTCTTAGGCTGTCTTGGGGCCTTCTTGGAGGCCTCTTGACTCTCTTGGGCCGTTTTGGGGTGGTCTTGGGGGCCTCTTGGGCCGTATTGGAGCGTCGGAAAGCCGCAAAGGCGAGCACGCCACAATCTTTCAAAAACGCATTGAAACCAATAGTTTTCCTCCTCCTCCTCCTCCGCCTCCTCCTCCTCCTCCTCCTGCCCTCTCGGACCGTCTCGGGGGCCCGCCTCAGCGTGCCGGGCCGGGGGGCACGGGGGCGGACAAGCGGTGCGAGCTCCTCACCTTCGGCACGCACCCCTTCCGCACCAGCGCCTTCTCCTGCTGCCGGAGCGCCCCGTGCGACTGGGACCGGACGGCGTTCAAGATGGGGATGTGCGGCGGGTACTCCGTGTCCGGCGACATGGCGAACGGCATGTGCCCGCACGTCCCGGGCGCGTGCTTGGCGAACGAGGAGCTTCTCAACGGCCTGTGCTATCGAAGGCGCCGGCGGCGGGCCACCGCCGCCCCCTGCCTGTTTGAAAAACGCCTCTGTGGCCGACCGTTTGGGTCCAGAGCTCGGACAAGGTACCGGACCAGGTGTTCCCCGAGCCGCTGTGGAATTTTTTCGGGGAACATGTGGGCGAGGAGGAGGAGGAGGAGGAGGAGGAGGAAGAGGAGGAGGAGGAAGAGGAGGAGCAGGAGGAAGAGGATCAGGAGGAGGAGGAGATGGAGGAGGAGGAGATGGAGGAGGAGAGGGAGGAAATGGAGGAGGAGAAGGAAAATATAAAGGACCCTCGCCTCGGCTCCTCGCCTTTCCAGGCCCCTGGTACCTTCCATATCTTTACTGGCGGCTCCCTTCCCCCAGGAGATTATACCAAGTGTGGGTGGTCGTTTGTCCTGGTCGGGGAATTCGTTCAGGGGGGCATGCACTTCGGAGGGGCCTCTTGGCGGTGGGGGGGGGCAAAGGATCACTTCCCAGGGATTCCCGGCGCCTTCTCCAGTCAGCACCCCGAGGTTCTGGCCATTCTGTGTGCGTGTGCCTGTGACCCTTACCAGTTTGAAACATATCCCTATCCCTATGTTTGACATCACCCCACCTCGATGCCGATCTTAAGGATTCCCTCAGTTTCTGAGGGCCTATCCCTAAGATTGTCCTCGGTCTTTGCTCGCCCATCTTAAGGATAGGGACATGTTCGAGGCTGGTTAAACCCTGGGTCCCGATTCCCGCGCGGCCCTCGGCGTCGCGGCCGGGCGGCAGCTCCTGCAGATCTCACCCGCCGCCGGGGCGTGCGGCGAGGCAGCTCGTCGCCCCCCCCCCGCGCCCGCGGGCAGACTCGCGCCCTCGTGCCGCGCCGCCGCCCGCGGAGGTCCTCCCGCGGAGAGCGGGGTGGCGGGCTCCCTGGCCAAGAGAGCTGCTCGAGGGGGGGAGGTCCTATCCTTACATCGGGCCTGTCCCTCGACAGGGGGAATATTCAAAACTAGTCTGAAAATAGTCAGGGGACGATTGTTTGACTATTGTTCATTCGGGGGGCATTTTTGGAGTAATTATGTTTAATTTTTCGCCCAAAGCCCCTCCTGTAGGGGGACGCGCCCGACTTGATCCTCTCCCCGATCATGTTCTCGCCGTCTCCTGCGCCCCCCTCGAGAGCGGCGTTCTTCCGGGAGGGTCGAGGCCGAGGCTGCGCCCTCTCGCCGGGTTTCCTGCCCGTTCGTGTCTTCGGCGCGCCAGGATTCCGCGACAGCCGCCTCTGCTCTGCCGCGCGACGTCTGCGACGCCCAGCTCGAGTCGACCAACACAAAAAACGGCCGACCCTGGATCCCCAGGGCTCGTGTCCTAACCCCGATCACGGTCTCGCCGCCCTCGTGCCCCCCCCCTCAAGAACGGCCGGCCCTGGATCCCCAGGGCTGGTGTCCTATCCCCGATCACGTTCTTGCCGTCCTCTGCAGCCCCCTCAAGAACGGCCGGCCCTGGATCCCAGGGCTGGTGTCCTATCCCCGATCACGTTCTTGCCGTCCTCTGCACCCCCCCTCAAGGAATGGCCGGCCCTGGATCCCCAGGGCTGCCTCCGGAAGATCGGGAGCCGCCTCCGCCCGTGCAGAACGAGGGGGCCATGGTCCACCTCGGTTGCTGCCCGCTCCTTACAGGCCCCAGGGCCTCCCTGCCCCTCTCCGACCCGACAAGGATTATGTTGTTCCCATCCTACTGAAGGACCACATCCCAGAAGTAATTTCGAGCACCCGGAGAAGTGTCAAAACAGTGTCGAAACAGTGTCGAGCGAGTGTTTGGGCCCGACGCGCGAAAACCCGTGAGTTTCGGCATTTTTTGGGCGTTCGAAATTCTTTTTGGTGCTCAAGACTCAAGTAGGCTGGAGCATCGTAAGACAAGGAGCGCCCAATCCTCCGACAGGCCTCCAGAGCTCAGGCGGTCGAGGACGGGTCCGACGCCGACCGCCCCAGGCCGACTCCGGCCCACGGTTGCAAGGACGACCGCGTCAGTGCGGGCACCGAAGGCTTCGGTATGAGGCTCGCTTGTTACAATGCCTTCTCGGTGTGTGACTTTACCAGGGCTCTCGGGAGGCACCACAAAAGAGCTTCTTAAGGGCAAGGGACCTCTGCTCCGTACCCACTTCCGTGAAACAAAGATCTTGTTGTGTGGAGGTTCAGGAGGTTCGCGCGAAAGCTGGCAAGCGCCAGGCTGGGGATTGTTCCGCCCTGGCTCCTGGAGGCCAGCAAAGGAGCCTCGGATGCGAACTCTGGATCGATACCGAAGTATTGCATGCTGCCTTCGGGGGAGGGCAGTTGTTCTTCAAACCTGCCCATGCCAGCCCTCTCCACCTCGACCCTCGCCGCCGCGGCGTTGAGATCCCCGCCCACTTTTTAACCGAGTTTTCCGGGTTCTTCACGCGCCACGCAGTAGAGGGAAGTTTTTGCTATTTTCGACCCCTGGGGGCCCTCGCCAGGCCCCAGGAGTGTCAAACAGCGGCTCAGAATGAGAAGCCGGTCCCGGGGAAAGGGTCGTGACTTCGGGAACGCCGTCCTAAACAAAATCAGGACGTCGCATGTCTGGGAATGGGCAGGTGGGCCTGGGGCGTAAAATTCTTGGCGTGGGGGATTCTGGCATTGCCCAATTTCTGGACGACAGCAGGTGCGAACTTTGCCACGCCGTCGCAGGGCTCTCGCTCCGAGCGCCCGCGACCCTGAGGGCCCCCGAGACCGAGTCTTTCTCTTGGACTTGGGATGCCCCGCGCTACCATAGGGTCGATCACATCCTCTTCTCTGCTGACCTGGATCAAATTGTCGCGCGTCGCGGGATTCGCGGCATACTTTCGATTCAATGCGATCCAAGTTGGACCATTACCCGGTGCATGCCTATCTTCAGTGGCTCGCCCAGCGGAAGCACCGCCCCCCGGTGGGTTTTGACGGGTCTTCTTCGGCATGCCCCCGTTGCCGGCCAGCCTTCGCCTCGTGGAGTTGGCCCCAATTCCCAGTGCGACGCCGCCAGGGGCCAGATTCTCAGCGCCGCCCTGCAGGCCGCCCCCCCCCGCCCCGCCGCCAGCCCCGCAAGCCCCGCGTGCTCAGAGGCGCGCGGAGGCCCGTTCAAATCGGGCGATGCATAAAACAAGCGCTCGACGGGCTGAGGGCATGGCCCCCCGCGTTGCCGCGCTACCGTCCTCGGGCCCTCTGGTGGGCGATCCGCGCTCGGAAGGCGTCGGCTGTTCCGCCGGCGCCCAGCCGAGCGCGTCGCGCTCTCTCGGCCGCAGCCTGTCTTGAAGAAAAGCATGAACGGGAGCTCGCGAACTCGTTCGAGGCCAGAAGATGCGTTCTCGCCGCGTGGCTGGAGTTGGATCGCGCGGCCCGTCTCGACAGCGTGGTTGAGGAATTCGGACAGGGAGCGAAAGTCGGCGACCAGGGGGCTCACTGGCCATGTGTCAGCTCGCTTCCGGCCTTCGGGGGGCGCGAAGAGAAGTTCCACCAGCCCTGCCTCGCCCCCTATCTAAACTCCCAAGATACTGAGATAATGAGATAATGCATTGGATGCTCCCTCCGCCGTCGCCGAAGATGCGCGCGGGCTTTTCGCCTCGCAGGAGCGCGCCCTCACCTTGTCTGAAGAAGCTCGCGTGGCCCGCTGCAACGCCCTGCCCCCCGCCCCCCCCCCCCCCCCCGCCCCCCCCCCTCCCCCCCCCCCGCGCCCTGCGCGCGCGCACGCACGCGCGCGCCTCTGCGATGCTTTGGCTCGGAGCTCTGCGCCGCCAAAGCGCGCCAAGGCGGGGGGGCCGACCGCGTCGGCAGGGATCTGGTCAAGGCCGCCCCCCGTGCATGCGCTCGCCTTGCCCGCCACGTCCGCGCTAGTGTCTCGCTCCTCGGCAGGGGCCCCCTCTCTTTCAAATGGGAATGAGCCCGCCCGCTCGACGAACGCTGGGGCACCCCGTCCTTGTCGATTTACGATCGCCAGATTATGCTCGCGAGCGTTGCTGCCATGTGCCATCGCCAATACATGCGAGAACGGGTCTACGATATCGCGGTTGCCCTCCTCGCATCCACTCAACGCGGAGGGCGCGCTGGGGTCGCGGGGCCGACGTCGCGAGCTGCTATGTTAAGGCGTTCGCGGCCTATGCCGCGCAGTGAAAAGTTTCGAGCAT